TGACTTCAATGGCCCCATTGGTTATAATGGACCCGAATTTTTCGGGAATTTTTTTCGGGATTCGGACAAGCTCATAAATTGCTAATTCGGGATCCCAAAAGCCGAAAAAAGCCGAAAATCGTTATTTTCGGCTTTTTTTTCGGTTCGGGATCCCGAAATGCACATCCCTACTGGCAACTTCAGTTGACAGGACCAGACGCTCTGTGCAATCTTGCTCCGGACTCTTTGAAACCTTGACCGTTTGTTACTCTGCTTCTGAACTCCGGCTCCCTGACCCTCGGCATTGTTTGACCACGACTTCGGCTCTGCGATACTCTGGCTTGACTTGATTTATGGACTATGACGTATGGTATGTTTGACGCTGGCTTTGTGAACTGTTTTGGACTTGTTTAAATCTCTGTGCTGTTTGAACTATTGGCTGAACCTCGGACTGGCTTTGGACTTGACTTGTTTAACCCACGCTCCCTGGCCCTGCCATGACACAGAGGAGGGAGAGCTTGTACCTGAAGGTGGGCAGGGGGGCTCTGCGACTTACGTGGCTGCTTCTTGCTCCTCGTGGCCCGACAGGGCTGCTGGGAACAGGGGGCGGGGCTTGTTGCATGTGCCTGCCCCTGGGCTCCTTACTGCCGGAGCTCCGCTCCTGTGCGCTCCCGCAGGAAATGACCCCTGGTGGTAAATCAGAAGTCTGCACCAGGAACTGGTGAGAAATTACTCCATTTAGTCTGGAACCAACCCTATGTGCGGTGCTAGATATTGCCCATTTGGGACCTAGAGAATGCCTGATATCCTGTTTGTGCATCTGTTGCAAATAGACTTCCATTAGCCAATTGACTATTCGGTTGAAGGTTAATGAAAGCATTGGCATTGCGTTTAAAATGGACATGGATCAATTCTAGGAAGATATATTGAACCTTTCTGTGTATTCTGTGTTGAACTAATTATGCTATTTATAAATTTAATCATTAATTGAAATTGTTTATCTACAAAGGACTCCTGAGTAGGAGTAGGATGGGCACGAACTGGGAAAATGGAGGTTCATCCCCATTCAGTTTATGAGGTTCCGTTGAAAATCTGAGGTCTTACCCTTCCTCCTTTCTGCTGGGGGCGGCTCCCCGAGGCCAGCAGAATGCCCCCCCCCCATCTTGCAAAAGCCATTTAAAGGGATGCAAGCCATTTCAGGGATCACCCCCTGCTTCCCACCACGAGCCCCATGAACCTCCAAAATTACATGGAAGAAAAGAAGAAGAAGAAGAGATTGGATTTATACCCCGTCCTTCACTTGGAGTCTCAGAGCGGCTTACAAACTCCTTTCCCTTCCCCATCCCACAACAGACACCCTGTGAGGTGGGTGGGGCTGAGAGAACTCAGACACAAACTGCTCTTTTTCAAGGACAGCTGTGCCAGAGCTTGTGACTGACCCAAGGTCACATCAGCAGGTGCAAGTGGAGGAGTGGGGACTCAAACCCGGTTCTCCCAGATTAGAGTCCGCACACTTAACCACTACACCAAACTGGCTCTCTACACCAAACTGGTGTGGAGGTTTGCAAACCACAAACGGGCGATGTTTGTCACAAAATTAGGCTTGTGACGAGGTTTCTGCCCATCCCTACTCCTGACATGTGAATTTTTTAATTATTATTTTTGCTCCTGTACGTTTTTTCTTTGGTCTGTCTTTTATTTAGAAAAGTGGAAGAGGCTTAAGTTATTAAATCCTATAGTTCAACCCCAGAGGGAAAGAATGTTCTCCAGCATACCAAGAAAATGTTAGACATTGCATTACTTTACTGGCCTCCTGCTGGATGCTTCGTTTTTCTGCACTCATGAAAGTTTTTGATTACAATATAATTTTTTTGTCTTTACTCACAAATGTATTTTGTTTACTTCTCCCTGATTTAGAAATTAGAATTGTCATGGAGAAACTCTGAAATCATGTACTTGGCACAAGGTCTATATAAAACCACTCTTTGAAGCTACCAGTGACAGTTATGCTGGCAAAGATCCTTAGGGAGATAGTTCTGTAGTGGAATTTATTAATATGGGCCTGAGTTACTGTCTAAATACCATTGGTCTGAATTAATGCTAATAGATCTTTGCAATATAGTCAATATGTAAGTCTTGTAAGCTAACGTTGGTAGCTTCCTTTGTGCCCTTTTGTTCCCCAGCACCTGTGGTTCTCCACGGTACTTTTTTGATGGGTGAAGATCTGTATTACATGACCTACCAATAATGCTTGCTAAAACAGGATCACAGCTATGCACTGTACTTCCCATGCGGTCAAAAATAAATTCAACACGATTATCTGCTGATGGTGCCTGGATTCTTAGAATGATGCTTGATATGGTATCTGTATCTCTGTTTGTCACATAACATCCTTTCCTATCTATGGTATGAGGTCAGGGTAAACTTGTACTAGAGATATTCTTTTGTTGAAATCACATTAGCTTTACGTCAGCCATTTTAATTGAACCTATGGGACCAGGGGGTATAAATTGTTAAAGATTTGTCTCCTTTGCGCTAGCCATTAATAGCTCCTTGTGAGATCTTGGTGACCTGTCCAGAGCACTCTGAGTTTCATGCAAGTGCACTAATTCAAGTATTGGGGTTTTATGAAATTATTGTATGCTGAGTATCAGTCAGTCAATAGTTTATTGACTGGGAGGGCGGGGTATAAATGCAATTAAATAAATAAATATTATATATGAGCTTCCAGTTTTGGCGAATCGCTGATGGGTGTATTTCATCGAGCTCCGATAAATGCAACCCATGATCGTAGTGGCTGGGAGGGGTACTGGATTATTCCAGTCCCCCCCCAGAGCCCTCGGAGGGGGCTCATAGCCTGGGGTGCAAGAGGTGCTACTCCTGAGGCCACGGCCGGGGGATTGAGGCTCCTCTTTGCAATGGTGACTGAGACGCATACCGGGACAAGCGAAAGGAGATCTAGCGCAAAGCCTTCCCTACCTTATTGAAGCAAGCAGCTGATGAAGCGTGAGTCCATGTGCCTTTAAATCAGACAAAAACCTAAGCGGACAGCTTCCCCCCAAAGCGGAGGGAGCTGAGCTGAGCTCATCCTGGGAGAAATAAGGAGCAACTTTAAGAGGCAGAGGGGGGAAAGCTGGTTGGAAAACATCGTGTAGCACAAATAGAGTGCAGACTGGTTAAAGAGCAAGATCTTCTTTGAATTTTCTGCTAATGTAAACAATCCCCCACCGGGCTGAAAAAATGGCGCCGAAAGTGAGACCTTCTCCTTCAGGGACTGCTAGCTCAGCAGCATCGGCTTCCAAACCGGAAGCAACCATAGACATTCCAAACATGTTAACCACTGCATTGCACCCTCTACTGGACCAGATGACCCATCTTAACAATTTTGAGACTCTCCAAAAACAGCTAAAAGAAATCAATATAAAAACAGAGAATACAGCAAAATCCAAAGTTGATGCTAAGACAAAAGCGTTGAATCAGAGACTGGAGGCAGTGGAAAAAGAGAAAGTCTCTGATAAACAACAGCTGTTACAACTACAAATGGAAAAATCGTCATATATCCTTAGATTTCAAGGTATCCCGGAACAAAAAGGAGAAAACCTCAAGGAGATTTTAAGTGATGCCCTGGCACCGGTAGTAGACATTAAAGCGGAATTTATACAAAGCGAAATGGATGTGGTCTACCGGACTTATCCAGACTACATCAAGAAAAATAAACTACCTGGTGAAATATTTGTGAAATTCTCCAAGAGGTCTACCAGAGATGTTACACTTAAAGCAACCAACAGGATTACTATAAAAATCAAAGGCGAAGAAATGAGAATTTTAAAGGACATTCCATTTGAGATAAGAAAGAAGAGACAACAATATAAAAAATTGACAACTTTTTAACAGAAAAACTCCACTACCTACAGATGGATTTTACCAGAGGGTCTTATCTTCAACTTCAAAGAGAAAAAAGAAAAAATAGACTCTGTTGCAAAAGCTAAAGCATTTTTGGAGCAGCATCAAAAAACAGAGAAAGAGAAAGGAAAAGTGGAGGACAGCAAGGAAGAAGTGGATCAGGAAGTAGTAGCAGTACACCGGGCAATTCCTCAGGAGAAGACTCTGAATCTGATATGGGAGAAGCCGCCCCGAAACTCCTTAAAGTCAGATGGGACTATGATATAGATAAGCCTAAGGGGGAAAAGAACTAAAAATGAATCAGCTCTGAAAGTTCAATACTATTTAGTTTAATGTACCAGAATACATTTATTTGGCTAATATTGTTTGTACTGGAATACATCTGAAACAGTTAATCTTACTCTTCATCTTCTAGAATGTTAAAGCTAAGGGAAATGTTGAAATAAGCCGTTTTTGTCGTATCAGATCCCTGTTTAGCCGGATGTTTTAGTTAGTCTTTCCATGTTCCCTGCCCTATGTAGTATGTAGTGAAAATGCAATTTAAAAATCTATTAAAAGTATTTTATTGTATATAGCCATTGGCCATTACAAGTTTAAAGAACCATGAATTACATTAATAAATATAACCATAAAACTAAAATATAGAAATGTACACTTAAGAGATTAAAACAGGTTAAAACTTAATAAACTACAGTTTCAAGGAACCGCCCCCAACACTACCCTCTCAGATCGTAACTTCTTTGCTGCAAAGGCAAACAGAGAGACTCTATAAGATACATATGCATCATTATCAGATAGCAAGTATACAATCTTCTACAGTATATGTGGAATATTTAAATGCTGTGTATTCTGTTTTAAAGAATTATAATTGATGAAGTGCTTTCTGTCTTAAAAACTTATACTGGAATAAACTAGTTTTGTTTTAGAACCATTGTTTCACTCTATACTTGATTCAGCCCCTTGCCAGTCTCCACTCAACCAATAAAAGAACTCAGGGGAATTGAGGGGACCCAGGAATAGTCCTGGGCTTCATAACCCCGCAACAAATTTGTTAATCTGTATACTTTCCAAGATCTATATCAATATGTATGTTCTTGTTTTTTCCTTTTTCCGTGCAGTGGATCCTCTGATAAAAGAAAACAGCCACATCTTCACTGACACCCAGTGCATCTCTGAGTCTCAGGAGCTTGCTCAGGATCAGGTATGTTTCAAGCTATGGGCAGCTGCTGAAACTTAACACTAATTATGGAGGCCTCCTGATATGCTTTCCTTGGTTTTCTCTTCTAATTTTTCCAGAGTAAGAAACAAGCAAGCAAAGTTCGGCGGTGCACATCTATCCATGGTGAGGAAGAGCTCAGCCAAAGCAAGAAAATAAAATTGGACACAAAGCAGGTAATGCAGAGCAGATTTTTAAAAAATCCAAGGATCACAAGCAAAAGACTTCCATGCACTAGAAGTCTTGGTGTGTACGCTTCTTGGAATGTGCAGTAATTCTTCAGGGGATTTCTAGTATCAGGCATTTTTGCAATACTAGTCTGAAACATGACCTGTTCTTTTGTGGTGAACCGTTAAAACATATTATCAAATACTTGTTATATTTGTCTTAAAATGTCTTTATCTGACTCTTTTAATTTAAACATTCAAGAGGTGCCTTCTAAAAATTAAATGCGAAGCAAATCAGCAGCATAAAATGAGCTATCAAGCAGAGGCATTACAGGATCAGATAAATGATGTCATTAGAGCAGAGGAACTACATGAACAGCAAGTACAAAAACAACACAGCTAAAAAGTCAGCTGGTGTAAATAAGTCAGCCAGAGTCAGTTAAAACCAACAAAACGAAAGCAGGCTAAAGCAACTAAACGCAAAGTCGATCATTTCACTCCCTACAAATGCCCAGGAAGATAAGAACACTTTCAGCTGATGTATACTAAAATGTAGTGAGTTTGGCACCTGGCAAACAGCTGTGAGAAGGTAAGGCACCACAACAGAAAAGACTGTGTCTCTGGTAGCCAGCCACCTTGAAGGGGGAATTGGGGGGGGGGGGGACAGAGCAGGTCATCGTAACTAGCAGGCAAAAACCAAATTAAGGCAGTTTTTTGAAGGGAAAGAAAATAATGGCTTCAGAAAAACTGGAAATAAATTCACACAATTGTTAATGTGCATTTTCCTGCTAAATTAATTTGAAAAACTGACAGTTCACTTTTTCAGAGTTTGAGCCCTGTTTGTAATTCTAGCGCCTACTAGGAAAGCTAACTATATTTTGCTGTATATAATGTATACACTTGAGTAATTTTACTTTTCCCCTTGCTGTTTTAAACCAGCCCTCTGTGGTAGATTGATTAAATTAGTTGAGGAGAAATTTACAGGCAAGGATTTGCTTTTCACTCACTGTTCCTGTCATTTACTGATCAGGGTTATTTATCATGCCCTTCGGCCTATAATGGTTTTCTTTGGTTAGTTCTCTCCCACCCTGCTCAGAAGGTATGTGTGTAACAAGTGTTCAGAGAGGTATGGTGTGTGAGGTTGAATAAAGGAATTGCAGTACAGCTCCATTTTCTGAACACGGGCTCTTCAAAATCAGTAAGCCTCTATTCTTTCTTGTAAACAGCAAGGTAACAATGGAGAAGACAGGAACAAATACTGTCCCATCTGTACTATGACCTTTACCTCACCTGTTGTGGCTAACTCTCACTACGTAGGCAAGACCCATGCCAAGAATCTGAAGCTGCATTCTCCTAAAGCAGAAGGTATGATCATTAAGATGCCGAGACTTGTCTCTTGCAGTACTGTGTTTAAAAACAAACAAACAAAGAAAAACCCCTTGGTTAGAATAGTCCAGGGCTCTTTGAAGTAGCTGTGGTCATTAAGGGAGTTCATGATCACTTCAATTGAGAGATAGGCATGCTGGTCTCTTGTGCTTCCTCGATGACCCTAGTATTAACAAACCTAGGCAAACACAGCAAAACTTACAGCAGAGTCCTTTTTTCCTCTTTGTAAGCTTTTGTCAGCTGCAGTCTTGTTTATGTGCACGGGTACATGTGCATGTATGCATGTTGAGAATGTTAAAATTCTAAGTGCAAACTTCTTTCCTATTAATAAGTTGTTATTTTGATTCTTCTGGTTTGTCTCCAAAATTCTGTCTCTTGATATTTGGATTAATTTTGCAGCTGTTGTTCCTGCTCAGAAACAAGCTGCTAATGCACCTCCCACTACTGTGTCCTCTAATGAAGAGAACCAAAACACTTCTGACCCAAACAAATTCTGCAGTCTCTGCCACGCCATTTTCAATAACCCACTGATGGCGAAACAGCACTATGTAGGCAAGAAACACAAAAAGCAGGAGACCAAACTTAAGCTAATGGCACACTATGGGAGAACCCCTGAGGAACCTGCTGCTTCAACAGGTGAGTGTTTCACAACAAGGCTTCTGTAATAAATAAAGCATATGAGTGTTTGAGGTTTGTAAAGCCACAACTAAATTACGAAGTGTCCTGCATCTAATTTGTACTGTTAAAAACAGTGTTCTTTTATCTTTGGCCACCCCCACCCATCACTGTGTTCATGAAAAAGAATGTGTAGACCTGCAGGGGATGGAGGAGGTACAGGGCAGGAAATCCTCCCTGTTAACAGAGAAAAACCCTAAAGTGTGCATGAAAATTCTGGTTTGTGGAAAAACTCTCCTCCCCCCTCCCCCCAGGAATAGGTATATAGCTGTGTATGTGCATTTGAAGGAATCAGCAGTTGAGTCCAGTGTGCAGTTGCAAGGCTCAAGAAGCAAAAGGCAGCAAAACAGGAGTAACAGAGGTTCTTTTTTTTAAAAAAATGTAATTGCTTTTAATGTCTACCAACTATAAGGAATAAAGGTAAGGGATCTTCTAAACTAAAATACAGAATTAGCAAGGATCATATAACCGTCTATACATCAATTTCTTGTTTTTTCCCTATTTAGTTTTTTAAAGAAATGGAGATTAGCTATTAATATTACTAGTTCAAACAAATACAAGCATAATTAGTCATAGTGGGTGCATCTTAGTATTTCAGTAGAAAAGAAATCATATATTCAGGGTTAAGCTATTTATCGGTTTTCTTTCCTCTATGTTTGTTTTTTATCAAGGGTCAGCTTAATTTTGAGAGGTTTAGGAACTGCTGCTCCTAATTCTGATTCAGAGTTCCTTCTGAAGAACTACTCAGTGAGCTACCACTGCTTCTCGATCCATGTTCAATATTATCTTCTGTAGCTTTTTTGTCCTCCGCTTTTCCTTTTTGTTCTGCTGAACTTTGGTGCTGTTCCAAAAATGCTTTTGCTTTTGTAACAGAGTCCATCTTTTTTCTCTTTAAAGTTGAAGATAAGTCCTTCTGGGATAATCCATCTGCAGGGAGTGGAGTTTTTCTGTAAAAATAATGTCAGGTTTCTATATTGTTTCCTCCTCTTTCTCACCTCGAACGGAACATCTTTTAAGACTTTTGTTTCTTCTCCTTTGATTTTTAAGGTTATCCCATTAGGAGAGCCAGTTTGGTGTAATGGTTAAGTGTGCAGACTCTAATCTGGGAGAACCAGGTTTGATTCCCCACTTCTCCACTTGCACCTGGCTGGATGACCTTGGGAAAGCCATAGTTCTGATAAGAGCTGTTCTTGAAAAAGAGCAGTTTCTATCAGAGCTCTCTCAGCCCCACCTACCTCACAGGGTGTCTGTTGTGAGGAGGGGAAGGGAAGGAGTTTGTAAGCCGTTCTGAGACACCTTTGGGTAGTAAAGGGCGGGGTATAAATCCAATCTCTTCTCTTCTTCTTCTTCTTAGTTTCTTTCAGTATCATATCTCTTGTTGTCCTTTTAGAAAATTTCACAAACACTTCACTGGGCAGCTTGTTTTTCTTAATACATTCCGGATAGGTGCGGTATACCATATCCATATCGCTTTGTAATGATTCTGCTTTACAGTCTGCCACTGAAGCTAATGCTTCGCATAAGATCTCTTTCAGGTTATCTCCTTTTTTTCTGGAATCCCTTGAAATCTCAGGACATATGATGACTTTTCCATCTGCAGTTGTAACAGCTGTTGTTTCTCAGAGGTCTTCTCTTTTTCCACTACCTCCAGTCTTTGATTTAACGCATTTATCATCAACCTTTTTCAGCCTTTTGGCTGTCTTCTCTGTTCTTATGCTAGTGTCTTTCAGTTCCTTTTGAAGAGCATCAACATTGTTGTTGAGGTTAGTCATCTGATCCAGCAGAGGTCACAGTGCTGCAGCAATCATCTTAGGGAAGTCTGTGGTTGCTTCCAGTCTGGAGACTGGAGTCATTGAACTGGTAGTTCCTGAAGGTTTTGCCCTGGATGCCATTTTTTCAGCCCGATGTGACGTGTTTACATTAAAAGGAAAAGTTCTTTAAAGTCTCTGAAGATCTGTAAATTGCACTTTTCTTACTAGTCTGCACACCGCTCGGCTAGATTATCAATCTCCCATCATAGCCATCTCTTCGCCCCTCGTTTTTTTCCTTTTATAGTGTATTCTTTCCAGGGTAGGGTTAACTCCTCCCCCTCATTACGTTTCGGTCTTCGAGGCGGCTTTGTGGTTTGTGCTTGATCGCTTGCTTTGTTAAAATGAGTATTCACTCATGATTTACTCCCCAATTTGTTTCAGGAGATAGGGAACATCTCCCATCACCCAATCTCTTGTGCGCTCGTTCCGGTGTGCGTCTTTAATACCATGGCTGGTCTCGTGGCGGTGGGACCTGTCGGGGCAAAGAGGAGCCTCAATCCTTCAGCCGTTGCCTCAGGAGAGGCACCCCTCGCACCCCAGGCTATGAGTCCCCTCCGAAGGCTCTGGGGGGACCTGGAATCATCCGGGACCCCTCCCGTCCAGCACAATCACAGGCCGCTGTCATCGGAGCTTCAATGCCAGGACGTCGCCGAAACCGGAAGTTCACAATTCAGAGGTTTTTAGCTTCAGGTTTATGCCTTAGGCATCAGGCAAGCTTCTTTTTTTCCTGTAAAGACAGTGAATCTAAGCACACCTTGAAATCAAAGGGATATTTCCAAGAAAGGGTGTTTAGATTTAAGAAGTCTTTCTTGTACAAAGAGACCTCTGGCCTCAGGCTGTTGCCTTTGAAAACTCATGACCCAGTAATCAAGTTAATCTTTAGGAAGAAGCAACTACTCTGTTGCTATATAGATTGAGGATCAGTTCACCCAAAGGCTACTGAAAGTCTCTCCACACAGTAAGGCATAAAGTGTGTACTGTATTCTGTAAGAGAGAGAGCACTAATTTCACAAAGTCCCATGCAGCAGCCATTCCATCTCATTACAAACAAGTATACAGCCTTCTGTTACTTCTCTTCATTTTGCATGAAACATTTAAGCGCTTATTTTTGTCCCCGGCCAAATGCAGCTGATCCATGTTTAAAGACTTGAACAATGCTGCCATTACAATGCCAACAAAATCAACTAATTCCTTTGCTGAGTGTCTACAGGCTTACATAATCCTAGTAAATATGCTCCAGCTCCTTTTTTTTTTTTTTTTTGCATGAACCTCCTACATTGTCATCTTTGTCAAATTCACCAGCAATATCAACAGTAGATGAGTGAAATATACAAGGCTGTCTGGCTGTCCAACTACATACATTTTACATACACATACCTACACACAGTTAAGTGGCATGTGCACCACCGTATTGCACAGGAAGCATAACCTTTCGAATTTTAAATTTAAAAATGGGAAAGAGCATACCTCTACTCCAGAGGTATCAAACTCATTTGTTACGAGGGCTGGATCTGACATAAATGCCACTTTGTCGGGCTGGGTCACACATGCTGTAAAATGTAACATGAGGTACCAGAGATACAAACTTTATAAAGATGATTTCAGATGCCGAATGCCAGTAGCAGGTGAATGACAATAGCAGGCTTGATTGGATTAGGTGTGATATGCAGAGGAGTCGTAGGTGTGGAGATACCAGCATTGGTAATGTGACAGGAAACCTAGGTCTCAGTTTGGTCCAGGAGGATGCAAAGAATAAGTGGACATAAGTCTGACAACCACAACATTCAAAAACCAGTGGGAGAACATTTAACCTTCCAGGACATTCAGTTGCTGGGCTAAGAGTAGCAGTTCTCTTACAAAGGAATTTCAGAGGGAAATTAAAAAGAGAGACTGCCAAATTGCAACTGATAATGAAGCTCAAGAAGACAATGCATCCTCCTGAACTGGACTGAGACCTAGGTTTCTTCTCTCATTACCAATGCTTGCTATTGTCATTTGGTGTCTGAAGTCACTTGACTCTCCAAGATATAAGGACAGATGGGCTCACATTCTAGCTGTATCTGAAGAAGTGAGCAGTGACTCATGAAAGCTCATGCCCTGCCACAAATTTTGTTTGTGCTACTGGATTCTTGCTCCATTCCACTAATAAAGATTGTAAGCTCTGCTGTTAGGTTTCTTCCCCCCACCCACCCACCATTTAGTAGACCTGGAGAGGGGAATCTCTCAAGGTGAAATAACGTTTTGATTCAGAGTAGGCAAAATCCATTCAGTGTTAGTGATGATATTAAAGAAGCAAGGGTGGGGGGTTAATGTGAAAAAGGCAGCCAGCAAGATAGGGGGAGGGAGGAAGAAAGGTGAACAAGTTTCTCTCTCTCTCTTCTTACAGTACCAGAAACTCCTTCCTAGAATCTTTCAAGGGGGGGGGGGGTTGTATGGAGAATGCCTGCACCTTTCCTGAAGGCTGGGGAGAGGAAGAGGGGAGGGCAGGTTATGATCTTGCAATGGGCTCCCATCTCCATCTCTTCCTGCCCGAGGGTGGAGTGGGGACAGCTAGTGGAACAGGGAGTACCAAAGGGTGAAAGGCGAGAGAGATGTGGATGCTTCCAACATCACTGCCATTGCCATCATAGAGGCACATCTCTTGAATTTCGGGATTATAGGAGGAAATGCATACAGTACAAGAAAGAAGAGCTTGCAGGATCTGAAACTAGAGAAAATGCATCAGAGTAGATCTCATTTTGCTAGGTCTCTTAAGTAAAATAAGCCCGCAGGCTAATCCTCATCGTTATTGATCCGGATCTCTTTCCAGTACTGTTTTTAAAATGATTTTTCTAAGATTACAATAATAATAATCTCATTTTTAATTTCTTGCCAAATTGCTACATCTGGAACTTCTTGTAAAACTGTTTCTCCCCCCCCCCCCCCCACATGTTGATGTAGACTAGTTGGGACTCATCTCTTAGGAAACTGTGACCTTAATCATTGCTAAGAAGCACAGCAAGGTTTTCCCCCCAACCTTGTAAATCAGCATATTTCTCTGCTTCCCTTCTTTACTTTCAGGAGTGCATGCAACTGTAAAGGGGGTGTGTGTGTCATGCTCTTCGAGATTTCTTAAAAAAAACCCCCCCCCCCCCCCCGGTGTATTTCTGCAAAAGATTCTCATTGCTCTTTAGAATGTGACCAAACTTTGCCATCGTTTGGATTGGCTCACTGCTCCCTGTTCTATTACTCAGGGAGCAAGAAAGAGCTACCGTGGAAAATGTAGTTGCTCTTGTATCAAGTCCTCCTCAGCTAAAGTTAACTTCCAGCGTGCATGCAAGTTGTGCAACAGGCAAAAGGCATCTTATTGCTGGGCAGAGTTGAGCAGCCAAGAATGAGGGTGAGCTGGTGATGCTGAAAAAACCCTTTTGCAGAGAATGGGGAGGGGAGACGCTGCCACTGCCTGTTGATGGTGGAGATGGGTTGAACTATGTCATGTTAGTTAATAAGTTTGCTATTGGCTCCCTCCCTTCTAGGCTTGCTCTCCCTCCCCCCCCCCCACCTCTTTGTTACAGTTTCTTTCTCTTTCTGGGAGTGCTCAGCAATGCATCCTTGCTGGGTTATAAAAGAGAAAGGCCAGCATTTTCTCCTAGCTCAACAGATTTGTCTTTCCTTGCTGAGTAAAAGAGGGGAAATGCTGGATGAAGTGTTTTGCATTCCATTAGGAGTGCTTGTCAGAAGAAATCCCCCCCTCCCTCTGAAGAAGTGTCGTGCACACGAAATAAAACTGTTGGTCTTACAAGCGCCACGGGACTCCAACTCTATTTTCTCTTGCATGCTGATGCTCTTGGCTTGGTCCTTTCCCCCCCAAAGGAGGAGGGGATTCTTCTGACAAGCTCTGGTCATTCTTCTGCTAGTTCTTAGCCTCCTATGAAGGGGAGGAAGAACCAGGCATGTCTTCAAAATAAGAGTCAGCTCTTTATAACTGTCATGAGAGAGGAAAAGTCGTAGACCTAGAAAGAGTTTGGCTGGTGCTTGAGAACTAGTTCAGTAGGTGTCTAATGCTAGGGAGGGGGCATCGTGGGTGGGGGCATTCTACCGCACGGACCAGATTACAGCCCTGGGTGGGCCAGGTCATCCTTGCTCTGCTCATATTTACCACTATAATTCTTTATAGGAAAAGATGAGCACTTCTACACATTTCTACAGTTCAGAAAGAATTCAGCCGTTACAGATCTGTTACATAATTGTCATGACAATAAAACATGGCTTTTTAAAAGTACATACATAGGCAATGGGACAGTTGTGTCATTTATCACTGGTAATGTCACAAGCACTGGCCTATAGCTGCCTCAGACACACATCCACAAAGCTTTCAGGACTGTATATTGAACATGTTAATGGGGGGAATGAAATGTGAGACTGGTGCAACAAAAGATAGAAAGCATCACATAAGCAAAAGCTTCAGAAGGTTGCAAATGCTCCTTGAAAATTCTAATTGAAAACACTTGTGTATATGGGCAGGGGGAGTATTTTTACACAATATATTATTAATAATATTTCTCAAATGGAAGTAGGATTGCTTTGTAAAGGTAAAGACAGATAATCAGGCACCTGAGCTATGAAAATGAAGGTAGCTACGGTATTCCTCATAAAGCAGGTATGGCATAGTGATTAGAGGAGTCATACTAGGATTGTGAAGGACCAGGTTTGAATTCCCACTTTGGCATTAAAATTGGCTGGGTGAACTTGAGCCAAGTCCCCCTCTCTCAACCTAACTTACCTCACAGGGTTGGAGATATGCCCTCAAAAAGTGTTTGCAGGGCTGGAAGGAATTATCGTGGTTGGGGAGTACCCTGGGGAGACGGACGGACGACACAGACAGTTTTAAAACCCAGGCAGCCTTCCTTCTTTAACTTCCACAAAATACGGAGTGTGTTTGCGTGTGTCTGAGTCCACACTTCCTCTCCTGCAAACTTTTTAAAAGCAACCAATGAGAATGCAAGCTGCTATGGGAGTGTTAGAACGCTCTAGCAAAAAGGCAGGGAACTTTTCCAGCATGTTTATTGAAATTGCTGCTCACAGACAAGGTGCCTTCTGGCAAGACAAGGAAGTGGAGGTGTGTTGGACATCCTGCTATAAGGCTCCATGGTGATGAGAAACACCCACTTGGAGACCTTGTCCCAGTTCACAAGGGTGTCCATATCCCTGGAAGCCCAGGGATATTTCAGAACAGTGCAGCAATGCCGCTCAAAATTTGAGTGGTGCAAGGCATCTTTCTGTAGTGCTTTGGAAACATGGTTGGGGTTCCCTCCTTCCTGACAGATCGGGGCGGTTGTGGGAACAGGCAGGCTGGCCAGGTTGGGAAGAGTGCAGGCATGCCTGTGAGTATAGCACTCCTAGTAGTTTAATACACCCCCCTACATAGCCCTCCAATATTACTGCTTTATTTGCTTTTAAGGAACCCCTGCACCAGCCACTCTGCAGCTGAGTAAGATCCCCTGCAGCCTCCCCCCCCCCAATCACTTTGCATCTGGGCATGGAATGAAAATTTTGACTTTTAGCATGTACTGTTTTTTAGTATACATGCATGCAAGATATTCAGCATAATTCATTAGTCTACAAGGAAGTTTTTTGCTTGCATTGGAAAAAGGAGATAAAAGTGTATGTGTTTTCTTCCATAGGTTGCAAGGCTGCTTTAAGGGGGGGGGGGGATGAGACTGCACATCCCAAAAACCTTGTTCCCTTGTAGGCTTGCCAGCTCCACCGTGAACACAGGCAGGGGGTGAGGGAGATAGAAGAGTTCCAACATCCAGGCAGGGAAACTTCTGGAGATTTTGGGATAGAGCCTTGGAAAGACAGGGACCACAGTGGGGGTACAATGCCACAGAGTCCACCCTCCAAAGCAACCATCTTCTCCAGCGGAACTGATCTCTGAGCTGCAATTCCAGGGGATCCCCAGGTCTCACCAGGAGGATGGCATCCCTACCTGCAGTCCTCTATGGAGTTCAGCATGTGGTGCCCTCATCTTTACAGGCAGTCTGTATTTTGGCAGTCATGCATTTTATGTGTTACTGGAACCTCCTCAAGGGATTAAACCAGACCTACCCACCCATCCACTCAAAAGACAGGAAAAATATATTTTACATTACCCGATTATTCCAGTTAGCAATGATAACTATATCACTCTAGAAGCTGAACTCTTTTTTTGGGTGGTGGGGGGGAGATCAACACTGTCCCAATTTACTGCGCCTAAATCTTCTGGGACCAAGTCATTTGGTTACTACCATTGCTACAAAAAATATTCTCACACTTTCCTTAAGGAACCTTCTTATAGGGCATTTCAAGCTGTGACTATACTTACAAAAGGCTTTCACATCTGTGCAGCAGCCCTTCAAGCAAAATGCCCTGCCAGGCGAGCACCTCAGCTGGAAGAGGAGGAGGTGTCTCAGGAGGAGAGACCAGTAGCTGCGGAGCCCCCTCATGCAGAAGAGATGCCCTTGGCTGAAGGTATGTGAATGTTCATTAGGTTGGTGAATGGGACAGCTAGGGAAAACAATAGTGGTCAATAGCCAGCCTCCATTCACTGACCTTAAGTGTTCCTCCATGCAGCCAGCCCCGAGAGCTGCCACAAGTGGTAAGCATCCAGCTGCAGACAGGTTTTGTAGGGAGGGGACATGGCTTGCCGGGAAAGCCTCTGCAAGGCATCCAGAAGGTTCCAGGTTCAATCTTTGCTATGCCTGTGTAAAAGGATCAGGTGGCAAGTGATTTTAAAGAACCCATACCTGTGAACCAAGAGAGCCACTTTCAGTCTGAAAGAATGACTGTGATTTTGATGCACCAAGGCAGCTTCCTGTGTTCATGTACTTACTGATTACCATTTTTTTTCCCTGGCAGGGGATGAAAGGCAAATAGAGAGCCCTCCCTCATTCAGACAGGTGACAGATTCCCTTGAGTCCATGAGAGGTCAAATAATGAAAACCTGTAAGTTAAACATGCATTGTTCTTTACAGAGGGCACTGTAGGTGGAGGATTATAATGTCCAGCAACAGACACTTAACAAATGGTTCTTTTCCTTAACAGTGGAGGCCTTCGATGTCCGGTTGAAAGCTCTTGAAGACAAAATGGTTAGCGTTAATGAACGACTGGAGAGACTGGAGGGTGGAGATCAAAACCAATAATCACTAAATATATAGTTTTGTACAGTTAAATTTATGCGTCCGTTCTTTTTAAAGGTTGTTATTTAATAAAGAATTTCAACCGGTGTTGCTTTGTGACTGACATTAGATAAATATTCCTCAAGATGTGTGGATTTCAGCTGTACAAAAACAGCTCTTGCGCCTTTCCAGTGAATTTCTCTTAAGACTTCCTCCAGTCAAAGTCTACTTATATCAGTAGACTTTAATTGGTGAAACTCTTCATCGGTTTTTGTCAAGAAATATTAATCTCTAGGCCTGCAAATAGGTTGAAGAGACCAAATGGAAAATAACTGGCTGTTGTTATGGAAGGATTGGCAAATCGACCTTGTGACCTTTGGATAACAATTCAGGTAGAGAGACAAACCATTTGTTTACAAGGACAGGACAGTGGCACCATTGCATCTCTCATTCACTATACAAGGGGTGGCTTACAGTCAGTGTTCCCTCTAAGCTGAGTTAGTGTGAGCTAGCTCATCGTTTTTTAGCCTCCAGGTCACACATTTTTGTCTTAGCTCAGGAAAGATGGCTCCAGAGCAAACTAATTTATGCAGTAGCCAAATCACTCACTCACAACTTTAATGTCAGCAGCTCACAAAGTAGAATTTTTGCTCACAAGACTCCACAGCTTAGAAGGAACATTGGTTACATTGCAGATAACCCCTCCATCCCATCATAAAGTGACCCACTTCTGGTCTAGCTGTTGTAATAGGTTCATGTCAACAATAACTTCAATGGTATGATTTTTGATTGGGCTAATGGGCCCTAGCCCACTCAGATCTCAGGCCTTTAAAAAGTTGGTCTTTCTGTTCTTTGTTCATGGCTAGCCACAGCTATCATGAGGTAGGATAAGCTAACCTCAGAATGAACCAGGTTCTTGTCCGGCAAGATGCTCTCCGGACAGAGAGAGATGGATTGCTGCCTGACTTCAACCCAGAAGGGTAACACCTGGTAACTATGAATTAATGATCTAATATGTAGCTAGTATATTAACTGTAGTTTTTTGTTGTAGTTCTCACTGCTAATGTTCTTTCAAAATATTCTTGCACACTTTAATAAATATCCTCTGATCATACTTGGTGTGTTTTGTGCTCCAGATGCCTCAATCCTATTCCAGTACTTTAAGAGTCTACCTACCATGTTAATTGCTGTGGGAACTCATTCTGCAAGTGGCCTACCTTGTGGGGTTGACTTTTTTGATTAATCCCAGTAAGGTATGAAGATTGCCCCTTAGCTTCTGACTGTGTGGGTAGTCCATGAGGCTGGTGGCAGATACCAGGTGAGTGTGTGGATACCCCCCCCCCCGCGGGGGGGAAGGTTGTAAATTTGTGCTCTGCTGGCCTGTAAAAAAAATCCCTTAGGTTGGGGATTCTTGACAGTTTTCTGTGCTGGAATTGATTACTGTGGCATACTATCACCAGTGATATTTATTTCAGCAAACAACAATGTAGCGTGCAATGTCCCGAAGTGCAAAATTTATAAAACCTTATAGAGAACATAATGATTAAATTATACAATGTAATTTTGGCGGGGAAAGTAAACTGAAGCAAGGACGCAGGAAAATAACAATGAGAGGAGCACTAACATTTGGAAAACATGCAGCCAGTTTAAACAGCAGTGATCAGATTAGGGCGAAAGTCTCTCCCCAGGGGCACCCCTGTGTTTCTCCTCCTGGGTTACAGGGTGCTGAAGTGGCAGGATTGCAGTCCTGCTGACTAACATGAGCACTTGCATGCGCTCTACCATTTATGTTGTGGAGGGTTCTGCACCTCCCTCTCTAAGAGGTCAGTGAGCTGTGATAGGGTCGGATTGCATTTCTCCATGACCTTATGATGTTGCTTCATGACTTGTTGGAGCATCTCCCTGTCCTGTCACAGACACAAAACATAATGGAAATACGGGGAAAATACTAAGATGCATCAGTCACTTACACTTGGGTATTCAAGGCTCGTCTTCTGATAGCATAATGTAAAAATTTTGCAACAGCTTCCATTATTTCGCAATTAGAATTAAACAGAAGAAAGTGAATAATTGAGTCATCAAAGTGCCAGCTCTTACCCTCTAGTAATGGAGTAATAAAATGAGATCGGATATCCCTATAGAGGGGGCAATGAAGTATGGTGTGTGTAGTGGATTCTATATCTTTTAGAAAGCAAGGACAAAGTCTGTCTACATATGGTATCTGGCAGTACCTCCCTAAAAGCACCTCTGATGGCAGAACATTAAAGCGTGCAAGCATGTATGCTCTGTGATGATGTGGGGCTGTTAAACTTGACAGATACTTCGCAGTAGAGCTCATGTCAGAAGTCCCCAACCTGCTTGGGGAGCATCTGCTGGCTGCGCGTTCCCTAAGTTCTTGCCTTTTGATGTCAAGAAATCTTTGTTTAATAATCGTATAGGCTTGTTTATCTGAAAAGGGGACTAAATAATCCGGGAATATTCCCATGGTAGAGAGTTTCTCCTCTCCATATCTAAGCCATTGAGAGAGATAGGACTCAGTTAACATGTGAGTAATAATACTTTTAGCTTTAGCGTGGAAATGAAGTTTAAGCCAGAAAGGAGTTTGTAAGCCGCTCTGAGACACCTTTGGGTTGTGAAGGGTGGGGTATAAATCCAATCGCCTCTTCTTTTGACTTGTTCAATGAAATGGCCTCCAATATTCCATCTGGATGGCTTCCAACTCTTATTGAAGATCATAATTTTGGATTTTTCAAAATTCAGAACTAGCCTATTCTTTTCACAATAGTCTACAAAGCTCTTTAAAAGGCGTTTCAGCCCTATACAAGTTAGAGACTAAGTCTCCTCTCTGTTATTGGGAAACTTTATGCTAGACGACGGGTTAACAAACTTGGGTCTTGGATGTTAGAACAAGGAATTCTGGGTCAAGAACAAATAGGTTTTTGTAAAGGGGAATCCACCCTAAATCACTGTGTGACTCTTATGCACCTTGTTAATAAGTATAAGAGGCAAAAAGGCACCAAAGTATATGCAGCCTTTCTAGATCTAAAAGGTCCTTTTGATTCAATCAAGAGAACGTCTATGGGAGAAACTTAAGTTGATGGGGATGGAACCGAGGCTTTTACATTGAATAATGAAGCTTCATCATAATACGACCTGCCAAGTTAGACTCAACAATGTTGGTGACCTGACAAAATTCAAATTAATATAGGAGTCAAACAGGGCTGCCTTTTAGCGCCCTTTCTATTCAACATATTTATAAATGATTTGATGCCCACCTTAGATCTGATCAATGGTCACAGTCCTAAACTTGGCTCGATCCCCACCCCTTTACTTCTTTATGCTGATGACGCAGTGCTATTGTCTCTAGCTCCCTGTCCTGTCTGTTTGCCTCCATATGATCAGCATGGTGACTCTCAGACTGGTCCATCATCTTCTGGACCACACCATACAGCCCATAAACCCGTTTATATGTGGCTCTACTGAGCAGCCCAGGATCTTGCGCAATAGCATGCCGTTCCACAGAAGGCGGGTTGGAGTGATTTGAAGGTCCAGGCACCTCCAGGAATATTTGGCACTGATGGGAAATAAGAAATAACATCACAGTAAAGAATCCTATGTGTAAATGTCCCTGGCAAACACCTCACTGTTCTGAAACAATCAAACTACCAAGGATGTACATGGTACCTCTGTAGGAAATTATCATTGTACAGTATGCAGTGTGCACATTATTCTGCAAGGGAAGCCTATTGGGAATAGATCTAAGAATTTTTTTAGGTTTCTTGCTAAGCTAACATATAAGATACAATTACAGTGCTATCACTAAATTGTGTGATGCTGAAGCAAAGTAACCAACATCACTTTTGTCACCTTGTGTGTATAAGTGTGGTTACCATACTGCAGTAGAAATTTGACTGTAGGATAAAATCAAGATAACACTTATACTCACAAATGAACTCTTCCACCACTGTTGCATCTGTGTCATCAGCCTCCTCCAAATGTTCCTGGTGATCATCTGTGCAAGTCATAAAATGCAAGTGATTAAACAACCTGGGTTAGTTCTGAACACATCAGTTATACACCAGTGATAGTTCAACAGGTAGAGGTTTAGTAGTCCCAAAATAGCATGCCAGGCATTATAAGGTTCTTCTCCTTGTCAATAGAGGATAAACTTCTGTCCTTTAAGAGTGCCAAATTAAATAAAGAAGCAAGTAAGTAAATACATAGTTCTATGAAGATAGATCCAGGTGGGTAGCTATGCTGGTCTGAAGCACCAGAACAAAGTTTGAATCCAGTGGCACCTTTAATTCTGGGTATAAAGTTTGCATGCATACGGAAACGTATACACAGAATTAAACTTTTCTGGTCTTAAAGGTGCCACTGAACTACAACTTTGTTCTGTATAGTCCTATTACATGCTCCCTGTCTGGAGTCTCACTTGCAGCCTTGTTTCAGTATGTTACCCACCAAGTCTGTTTGCATAGTTAAATCAGAACAATAAAGATTTATCTGATGGTACAGACAGGCAGTGAACAAAACAAAAGCTAGCATTCTACCACTAAGTTTAAGGGCCAAGCACAGCACTGTAAAGTAGGCAATACACATAATACAAGACTATGCAAACTTAAACATGCTCACTACATTCCTCTGTGCAACAGCTTTGGAAGTGTACTCCCCCCCCCCTTTGCAACCCCACATAAAGCCTGTTGACCTTAGGAAACAGGGTGGCCATCGCAGCACTTTAATTCTGTCATTACACTGCACCCTTCGGTAAGACAGGAAACAATAGTGCATGCATGTAACCCCACACACAGCACATTAAAAAAACTGCTTTATTCCTAGCCCTCTCCATCATGACAACCTGTGGAACATTCACTGACACCAAATATGCTGTGCAACAAATGTCAAAGTGCTAATGATGCAGCACCTGCGGTTTAATAATCTGTCAGAAAAGACAGAGAGGCAAACAGCCAACCCTTCAGAATGCTACCACTGCATGCACTACTTACCAGGAACATTTGGGCTGACGTCATCCAAGTTCACTCTTCTTGGAGCCTCATCACACAACAGTTATTCTGAAAACAACTCATGATAAGCAGAGGAAGCTGGCTCATCATCTTGGAAGGTGAAGCTGCATGCATCACGGAGCAAATACAAACATTTTTAACCTGTTCTCCTTCCACGAAGCTTAGATTGATGTCTGTGGTGCCCTCCATTTTATCTTCACAACCATGTGAGGTTGTTTTCTCGGAGACAGTGGTGGTCCCAAGGTCACCCAAGCAAACTTCAGAGGCAGAGTAGAGATTTGAATGCATGTTTATTACTATACAGCCTTTCTAACACATGTGTCCTGAGAATTCTGTTATAAAATTAGGGTTGGGGTGGGCAATTGTAGCTAACTCTTAAAGATATTTGCTTTTCCTGAGTTCATTTAATTTCAACAGTCTATCCTATTTCATTGTTTATTGAGTGTCCCATCCTTTTGATTACATTAACTTACTTTGTGTAATCCTTTTTGAGTCCCAGTGAGAAAATGGGACTATAAATAATATTAATAAATAATTAACTTGTACAACCGCCTCTAATCTCCATGGATATGAGATGTTGCATCTCTCATTTTTATCCTGCTTTTCCAATTAGGAGCTCAGGATGGCTGCTTATGACCTTCTTCCTTCCCCATTTTTCATGTTATCTTCACAATAATCCTGTGAAGTAGATTCACCTTGGTAGCTGTGCTGGTCTGAATCAACAGAACAAAATTTGAGTCCAGTGACACCTTTGAGATCAACAAACTTTAATTAAAGCTTTCATTATACCTAGAATTAAACTTTTGTTAGTCTTAAAGGTACCACTGGACTCAAACGTTGTCCTCTGGAGCAGTGTTCCCTCTAAGCTGAATTAGTGTGAGCTAACTCACAGATTTTTAGCCTCCAGCTCACACATTTTTTGTCTTAGCTCAGGAAGGATGGCTCCAAAGCAAACTAATTTATGCAGTAGCCAAATCGCTCGCTCACAACTTTAATGCCAGTAGCTCACAGAGTAGAATTTTTCTCACAAGAGTCCACCACTTAGAGAGAGAGAGCATTGCTGTGGAGATTCAGAAAGAAGTGACAGATCCAGGTCGCCCGGTGAGTTCCATGCATGAATGGGAATCTAAACTGGGTCCCTTCGGTCCGCGTCGGACGGACACAGGGTTTGCAAAGCTGCTGTTGTAGTGTACAGGAGATGGGAATTACACGAGGAATTCCTGGCATAGGTAAATCAATGGGTGGGGGGAGGGGGAAGCGTAAAGAAGTGAGCTCTGTCTCGGGAAAGCTCATACTGGAGTAAATGTTAGTTATGATGAAGGTGCGGCTCGATTAATAGCAGGATACAATTACCGCACACATTACTAGAGAACCTGTGTAAAAATTCTGAAGGGAGCTCTAATTGAAACGCCTTCGATGAGACTGAAGACGCCCGTTACCCGTAGACGACTCATGAACTATTCCCTGCCCCCCACCCCCCCGCTTGCCCGTATAAAAAATGGCTCTTCAGGAGGGTCGAAATGGGTCATATGACTCCCTTTCAAAATCGATCGAAAACCGACTCTCGCGGGAGTGCAAAGAATTAGCCCTCTGTCCCGAGCTTTCCTGTTCCCGCGGTTTACGAGGGAGACTCTCGCGATATGTGCCTTTGAAGCCAGGACTTCTCGCGATATCTCGGAGCTCTGGGAGAAAGCGGGTACCTCGGGGGCGGCGACGCTGGGACAAAATGGCGGAGGAACCGGGTAGCAACGGGGACGCGTTAGCTTTGCCGGTGGGAAAGGAGGCAGGTGAGGCTGAGTCGCCTTGGTAGTCTCGCGGGGCAAGGTACTTGTCCTCCTGTGGTTGATTTGCCGCCGGCTCCCTTTAGTGGGCGCACCTGGAGTGTAAGGGGCCTGTTGGTCCCTCCCCTCTTTTCACGTGTGGTTGTTGGGACCGTCCGTCGTTCCTGCCCACCCGCCTCTTTCTCCCCACGGCTCTGGTTCTGGAGCCCGAGGACGGGGACTGGCTCCTCCCCCGGACACTTCACCAACGTTGCACCCGATCCTTTGATTCGCCTTGCTTCCTCCGTCCCCTGTCCGAGTGAGACCCTTGGGAGAAAGGTTTTACGATAAGATCTCGGCGCTCCTTAGTCGTCGCTGACCACGTCTTATCGGTGTGATGAATGAACCTCTCCCGGTTTGCTTCACGCGGTAGCATAGGATCCGTAGCTAATGGCACAGCTGAAGGAAAGAGGCTGTCACGGGTCGAGATTCCTTTACACGTCTGAGTGGGATGGGTCAGGGTTTCCATCCTGTTCCACGTGGTGTTTCTTTTGAATGTACTCTGTTATAAAAGCGTTGTTCCTCGTTGCTCAAAACAGTGTCCAGTAAAACAAGCAAATCCTAGCTTCCCTCTCTCGACCCATCCCCAGCGCGAGAATTCATTGCTGTGTGAGGGTTTTAGCTCCTCCTCCCAGGTTGAGAGGCGTTTAATGTCTGAAAGGCCGAGCAAGAGGAGCAGCTAGGCACTGCTCTGCCTCTGATGGCAGATTGGCGCTTGGATGTTGGCCACAGCTCATTTGCACCTCCTAAGAATGTTCTTCTAAAAAAAAGAAAAGAAAACAGGCGGTGGGGTGTCCAGGTTATAGTGCCTTGCCCTCTCCGCCATTCATTATCGTTCTGATGCTGATCGAAGTGCAATTGTCTGTCACCACTTGGGGAATGAAACTGGTAACTTGTATGTTGCATTAAAGGGTTGGGCTCTGAGCACTGGCATATGCCTGCTGCATAAGGAAATGTGAAGGGGCAGTGCTAACTTTTGCTATTGCTGTCATGTTGTGAACACAATACTGTTAGAGTTGAATGATATTCTTCTCTTGTCAGGGTGCCTCTATGGTTCAGCGCATATGCAAGTGCTTGTAATTCATACAAGATACTAAAATTGAATAGAGGCTATGGTTTTATGCTTGCTCACAGGCAATTTCATTGAACTGTTAAGTTTTTGTGATCCCGTTTTTTAAAAAGTGTATAAGCAATGTTCTGCATAGCGGAGTAAAAGGGCATCCTAGCCTATTAAGGCTATTTTAATGCAGTTTTCTGTTCTTGGACAGCATTCTTGCTATTCACCGTTTTTCTTCACTATAGGAAACATTATACATGGGCAACTCATTTGGCATCCTAAGGAAACATGACTTTATAGTGTTCTTAAACTTCTTTTTTAAAAACAAACTCTTCTGTTGCTACCACATTCAGCCATATGACCCTTTGGAAAGAGATGTAGTGAATACAGTCACGTTTGAAGCTTGCTACTTATTATGCAGTTGTATATGTGGTCAGTATACAGAAAATAGCTTGCGTTATTTGTACTAAAATCCATCTCATGAGATGTGACATCTTCAATGAATTCCTTTTTGTGATGATTGAAAATGCTTCCAGTACAGTTCCATTTAACTATTTGAAGATCGCACCTCTTAGCAAAATTTGTAGTAATTATGACAGATCTCAGGCCAATTCATGCTATCTATGTAGTTTTTTGGAGGCAGTAATAACAGAGGTAGGTGGTGACCCACTGCAAGTACAGTATTGCCCAGTTTTATCATTTACTCATCTACACTGTAACATGAAGAAATTCAGTGGTGAAAACAACCATTTAGAGGACAATATTGACCTAGATTGCAGATTGGAGAAGGAAGAGCTAAGCCAGGGGTGGCCAAACTGTGACTCAGGAGCCGCATGCGGCTTTTTCACACATATTGTGTGGCTTCCAGCAGGACAGCTTGGGAAGCAAAGGGGAAGGTATGCCTTCATGATTGGTCTTCCCTTCCTCAGCCAGTGTTCCCTTCCCTGGGTAGGCTTGAAAAAGAACAGTTTGTGTCAGAGTTCTCTCAGCCCCACCCACCTCACAGGGTGTCTGTTGTGGGGAGGGGAAGGGAAAGGAGTTTATAAGCCGCTCTGAGACTCCCAAGTGAAGGGCGGGGTATAAATCCAATCTCTTCTTCTTCTTGAGGTGTGTGGGGGGGAACAGAGAAAGAAAGCAACTTTAAATGTGTTCTCAAAGGCCCCCCAAGCCTATAAATATATTTGAATAAATAAATATTATCAATATCTGTTTTTATTTTTGGCAGTCTCATTTAATGTTAATAAAAAGCAAATTTGCATATTTTTGAATAAAAACTTGTGTGTAATATTTGTTCATGTCTTGTGGTTCTCAGACATCTGACGTTTATTCTATATGGCTCTTACGTTAAGCAAGTTTGGCCACCCCTGAGATAAGCACATCCTTTTTATTAAATGCTCAATTTAGTTGGAGAGAGCATCTTAAGTACTCTGGTATAAACAATATTAACATATCTTCAGTAGTATTCTAAATACATGCATGTTTTGGAAATTCCTCAAGTTAAAGTGAAAGATAACAGTATGGAAGAGCAATTTCTAATGGACATCTTGATCCATTATAAAGACATCTGCAAACTGCACTGGGAAGCTTCATATTTGCTACAGTGCAAGTTTGGTATGGTTGATACAGTAAATTCATATAGTTCAAAGGGGTAGTGGGACACTCAATGATTTTTTGTGATTTTTATTTAGAGTTTCTTTTTCGGATTATGTAAATCACAGTATATGATTTTAACAATTGTAAATATTCATTTTGGATCGTATAAAAAGTTGCAGCTGTAACTTTTTAAAATAACCTGTTTTAAAATGTAATCTGAGTATGAAAGACTGCTGCTTTGTAGAGAAAGAGCTAGAAGTCAGACAGCTTTCTTAGTCATCATATAGCACAGTGGATCATGTCTTTATATTATGGTTTAACACTAAGAGCTAGAGACTGTATCATCTATTGATTTCTCTGGTTGTCTTCTTTTATCCCTAAAACTATTGAGGCAATTGTGGAGTTCAAGTAATTCTTTCCAGAAATATTTATAGGTCTGCCCTAGTGAACAGCATGGGCATTTACCATCCATCTCATGGAAGACAAGGAACCTGTTAGTGTTGACTGCGGTCCACAACTGTCTACAAAATCTGCTGTGGCTGACGGTGATGGACAAGCAAACTTTGTAAATCCATGTCTGAAGAAAAAATTCTTGCCCCCTTGCTTCTAGCCTCCCAGAGAGACCCACCAAAGTTGTTATTCTGTTGAGGCTGTTTGGTGATGGCTGAATTGATTCCCTTGTGAGTTCTTCTGGCACTATGATCATTCTGTTGAAATTAGTGCTGTTAATTGATAAGTTTGTTTATTTTGAATTTTTAACCTTTTCTTGTGAGTTACCTGTGGAGTCTTGTGTCTCTTTAAAGAATAAGAATTGGAACCTTGGCAGCACCATTTTGAAGCATTTGCAGAAGCAGATTTTTTCTGCCTCCTCAGTGCAGCCTCCTATGATTGCTGAAGAGGCACTGCCAGGAGTTGGAGGACCCCTGTGAGTAAAAACCACACATCATAAGGGGCTGCAGTGAGGAGGGAGGAGCAGGCAGAATTGCCCCCCTCTAGTGGTGCTCATGGAGTCCCCCTCCCACACACACCCCCAGTACAGCCGTTGGTGTGTGTGGCTTTTATACATGTGGGCTCCCAACCCCCCAGTGTCACAACTATTACTAAGCTCTCCCTCAATCCCCATGTCCACCTTGCAAGTATGATGCACCAACTCTTCCTGTCACAGATTATCCATCTTTGACTTTCTGACATGCTACTGATAATAACAGAATACTTGTAAACGTAGATCCTTCTTGAAAAAGCGGGCTCTTCATTTCTATTAGGGTGGACCTACGTTCTTTGATAGAATGATTGGTTGGACATAAGATACAGAAGTTTGAGAGTCACTGTCTGAGGTTTTGTCAAGGTTGGATGAAATCATCCTTGTCCTTTATAGGTCAGTAGCAGAGTATCCTGGGAGTCAAACAAAACAAACAGATTTATTACAGTCCAAGACCAGCAAGTATGCTTCAAAAAGATAGATAAAATGTATAAAACAATATAATACACTAAAAGTTTCACAGTCATAAAAGAATGTGTTAAAATACTCATAATTCTAATAAAACAAAATTGGGGCGATCCCTCTGTATGCAAGTTATTGGTTAGAGATCGCCTACTCTTCAATGCCATCCATCCATATTTAGCAACCTTGTATGTTATGTCCTGATTCTTGTCAGAAAGCATTTTGGAAAGAACTATAGTCTATGTCTCCCCGGGTAAGCTAGAAGTATGGCCATTATGTAACCTTCACATATCTGATTAGACATCTTACAGTCAAAGATGACATGTTAAGTCAGGTTTGTATCGGTTTCATTATTTTGCATCATGACTTGTTTGCCTTAGGTAGACAGCAGAAGGACAGAAGGCAAGTGATGGCATTTACTTGAATACACAAATGAGTCTCTGATGATATGGCAGATGATGTTAGGCTCTGTAATAGTGTTGCATGAGAGGATGTGGGGACAGAGTGATATCTGAATTTGTTGCACAGCCTAATTCCAAATCTTCTTGATAGCAGGTGAGTGGCCTGTTCTTTCTGACAGACTACCATTCAAGAGAGAAGTATAATTGTCTGTGACTGAGGACACATTGGAGTGGTGGCCCTGTAAATAAGTGGTGTTCTGTCCCTTTCCGCCTTTGGGGCCAATCCTGTATAAGGCTTCTCTTGAATATCTGTCTGACATTGTCAGTCTTTTTCTTTACTTTATTGATGGGTATTTCTGGCTGTGTTCTTTCTGGTGGGCTTTTACCACCAATTACCAATGTTGTTAGTGATCATTCTGTGTTGTATGAGGGTGTGTTTTGAACATCTTGACATTACTTATCACAGCATAAACAT